TTGTGTGTTGACTATAGACAGCTCAACAGTAAGACTCGAAAAGATGCTTTTCCTCTGCCACGCATAGAGGAGTCTCTGGATACGTTGTCTGGTGCTTGCTGGTTCTCAACCCTGGACTTGGCCAGTGGTTACAACCAGGTGCCAGTCACTGAGGCAGACCGTTCAAAGACTGCATTTTGTACACCATTCGGCTTGTTTGAGTGGAACAGAATGCCTTTTGGGCTCTGCAATGCACCTGGCACCTTCCAGAGGCTAATGCAGCGCATCTTCGGGGACCAACAGTGCCAGTCCTTACTGTTGTACCTTGATGACATTGTCGTGTTTTCCTCCACTGTGGAACAGCATCTGGAGAGGTTGAAGGTGGTGCTAGGGCGGCTTCAACAGGAGGGTCTTAAAGGGCCAGTGTGTAAAATGGGTTGAAAACCGTTGGAAACAGTGACATCAGTGGTCAAATTCTAGATTGCAGGGCTCACTCGCTCACCCCTCCCGTCGGGTAAATGACGGTGGCCTCGTAGGGACAAAAAGCCTTGCGCATGAGTTTTTCAGGAGTAGGTCTATCTAGTGACGAGGTGAATGTTTATTTAGAAATCAAAACCATGTTACGATATTGTAATGAATCCCTCACGAGCAGGAGACCAGAGGAACGTTCGGGAAAAAGGCCCGTTTATTTGAGCACTCCAGAAACTCCGGTAACACTCCACTCCGTCCCAAACTCTGACTCTTCTGGCGTAACAGACACACTTCATAACTTTACACACATACTCGTTTACCATGCTAAGTGGGGACCCCCCTCCCCTCTCTGCTCCGCCAATCTCCAGCCCGCACACTGACTGACAGGGTAGCCGGTAAACAGTGCTCAGCTGTTTATTTACCCTAGCAATATCTCCGGACTATAGTAGCTGCAATGGACGACTTTGAACGCGATTTTGAAGAGTTTCTTGTAGCGGACACAGACCCAGAGCCATACCTGTTTGAGCCGGTGCACACAGATGAAGAACTCTATGTGTTTAATGCTGAGCGGGTGAGAAGAGAGGCTGAATGCACAGAATGGGATTCGGTGCTACTGCTGCCATTGTTGGGGAGATATCACCAGGAGGAAAAGCGCCGCAGAGAGTGCATCATAAGGAGTGAAGTTGCGTCTTCTTTTCCTCGCAGATGACGGTTCGGGTTCATTCTCTCCTGTTGCGTGGTAAGTGTGGTCCATTCGCAAACTTTATAACTAAAAAAACTTTTCACTACTCTCTATCAACGAACTACTAACACTCTGCTGTTTCCTCCTCCTTCTTCCTTCCTTCCACTGTCTTCGTTGGTTCATTTATACACGTGAAACGCGTTCGCTGGCTGGCTGGATTGTCCACTCGGTCTGCTGTACATACATGGCGGCGCAAGATGGCGATCTCTCTAAAGCAAGGCCCTTGCTATATATATATATATAAAAGCATAATTATAAGGCTATGAAAACCAAATGAGTTTTATTTTATAGCGATCATACACTTGTATAAACATATTAATGGGTAGAATATTCAGATTCAGATTCAGATTGACAATAAACCATGCCAAATATTACACACTGGCCCTTTAAAGCCAAACTCTGCAAGTGTTCGTTCTTCCAGAAACAGGTACACTATTTGGGCCATGTGATTTCTGGAAACGGTGTCTCCACCGATCTGAGTAAGGTCGAAGCGGTTGCCAACTGGCCTATTCCCACCACTGCCCCTGAGCTGTGTTCTTTCCTTGGTTTCGCCAGTTATTACCGGCGGTTTTTGGAGGGATTTGCTAAACTAGCAGCCCCTCTGCATAAAGCTGTAGCTGCGTGTGGTAACGGCAAGTCTGGTAGAAAGACCGACCAGCAGCTTCTCAGGTGTTGGACTGATGAGTGCCAGCAGAGCTTTGCAGCACTGAAGGCTAAGCTCACCACCACACCAGTGTTAGCCTACGCAGACTTTGCCCTCCCGTTCATTCTGGAGGTGGATGCAAGCCATGGTGGCTTGGGAGCAGTCCTTTCTCAGGTGCAGGCAGGCAAGGTGAGGCCACTAGCCTATGCTAGCCGGGGTTTGAGACCCACAGAGAGGAACATGGTGAATTACAGCTCCATGAAACTTGAGTTCTTGGCCCTTAAGTGGGCCATGACGGAGAAATTTAGGGAGTACCTGCTGGGCAATAAGTGTGTTGTGTACACTGATAACAATCCCCTCAGTCATTTGTCCTCTGCTAAATTGGCCGCCACTGAGCAGAGATGGGCAGCCCAGCTAGCCTCTTTCGATTTCGAGATCAAGTATCGGTCAGGGCAGAGTAACACCAATGCAGACGCTCTTTCTCGTCAACATCCCCCGGGTCCCCAGGACGTAGAGGCTATGCTCCCAGGTACCGCCATGCCCAAGCCGTTGCAGCAAGCTTTGGGGTTGGGGAAGGCTGAGGTCATGCAAGCTTCCATTTCAGTCATGCCTCAGTACACCACCACTGAGCTTCGTGCCTCTCAACAGGCTGATCCTGTTATACAGGAATTGTTTGGGTTGTGGAAGCAGAAGCGTCGTCCCAGCCGTGAGGTGCGGGCACAGCTGTCCCAATCCACGCTTGTTTTGCTTCGGCAGTAGGACCGCCTGGTTGAGAAAGATGGCATCTTGTATCGCAAAGTGTTGCACCCAGATGGCGCTGAGGCCGTGTTCCAGCTGTTGTTGCCTAGTGTGTTGACTAACGAGGTCTTGACTCAAGTCCACCAGGAGCACGGGCACCAGGGAGTGGAGCGGACACTGGCACTCCTACAGTCCCGATGCTACTGGCCTGGTATGTCCTCTCATGTGGCCCAATGGTGTCAGGCATGTGAGAGGTGTCAAGTGGCCAAGGATGTCCACCCAAGGGCTCGTGGCTTTATGGGACATCTGTTGGCTTCACGCCCCAATGAAATCCTTGCCATTGACTACACCACTCTAGAGCCTGCCCAGAATGGCATAGAAAACGTCTTGGTCCTGACAGATGTTTTTAGCAAATACACAGTTCCTGTCCCCACCCGGGATCAGCGTGCTGCCACGGTGGCGAAGGTCTTGGTGTCGAAGTGGTTCTACAAGTTTGGCGTTCCTGCTCATTTGCATTCCGACCAGAGCCGTAACTTCGAAAGCTCTCTCATTCAGCAGTTGTGCAATTTGTGTGGCATTGTAAAATCACGCACTACCCCATACCACCCAGAAGGAAATGGTTAGTGTGAGCGGTTTAACCGGACGCTCCACAACATGCTTCGTACACTGCCAGTGTCCCGAAAAAGGGATTGGCATGTGTGTCTGCCCCATGTGCTATTTTGCTATAATACAACTCCCCATCAGTCCACAGGAGAGACTCCCTTCTTCTTAATGTTCGGTCAGGAACCCAGACTGCCAATAGACTTTCTGTTGGGTAGAGTTGAGAGTCCTGTTGATGGGTCCATTCATGAGTGGGTTCAAGAACTTCAAGCTCGACTGCAGGTAGCATTTGAAGGTGCTAGGGAACGCTTGCAACAGGCTGCTGATTGCTGAAGGAGAGCCCATGACCAGCATGTTAGAGATGTGCCACTAAGTGAAGGGCAGTTGGTGTTCTTGCGAGACTTCACTGCAAGGGGACCCCATAAGACCTGAGATAGGTGGAGCTCTGTGAGGTATCAAGTGTTGAGGGCACCCAAGGAAGGTGGCTCGGTGTACACTATTGTGCCAGTGGATGACAACACCAAGGTCAGACAGGTCCACCGCACCATGCTAAAGGCTGTCCTTGGAGTGGACTCGCCTGGTCAGACCTCTTCCCACAACGCGCCACCCGTAGAAGGGCCTCCTTCTGAAGAGGAGTGCTCATTTGAGTATGACTTGCTTGTGCTTGGCCAGCAGCCTTCTGTGGCCACTTCTGCCTTGCCTCCTGCCTTTAGTAGTTCCACCTTTGGGAGCGTTAACATCTTGAGCTCCTCATTCAGTCCCTTGTCCTGGTTCCAGCCAGGTGGCTCCACGTCGGACCACACGGCAAACTGCTGGCCAGCACCCAAATGTCCACCGTCTTCCACGGTCAGCTGGAGAGGTCCTGGCTGCCAACCCTCCCGCTTCCGTGCCCAATGCAGTCTCTGCTTTGTTTAGACCTTGGAGGTAGCTTACTGTGTTAGCATTTATTTGTCGATCGTCGGGACGACAATCCAAGGAGGAGGGGGCAGGATGTAGCAGCATAGAGATGTTTATCCTTTGTGATTTGCCACTGTTTATAATGAACGCCGCTGGTGGCCGCTGATGAGGTGGGCCAGTATAAAAGTGGCAGTCCACCCACCAGTTCTTCCTTTGCGCCTCCGTCACCTCTGTGTCACTTCCGGGTCAGCGGCCATTTGATCCGACAGGTATGACTGCATGCTGCTTCACCTCGCTGGTTGTTTGTGTCTCTCAATGTGCTTAAGGCATTGGTGTTGTGTTGTAGGGCGACTGCCTGTGTGCTGCTCCGGCCCCCTGTATGCGCTGCTGTGTGTGTCTGTGGTAGGTGTCCTCTCTCTCTGCGGTATGGTTGATGCTGTCCGGTGGCTAATGCTAGTGTGGTCACAGGTAAATGCTGGTGGCAAAATAGACCCTTGGTGACTGTTTCAATGTCCAGTGCGGGCAGTTGCTCGGCTGCACGCCGGGGCACGGTTCTCTATTTATATGGAATGCATGTGTGAAAGCGTGGGTTTACACCATTATTTTTGCTTATTTGTATAGGTTTATGTGTATGTTTTGTTTGGGTTGAACTTGATTCGGTCTATTTGTGTAACTCATTTGCTAATTACTTGAATTAATTTGAAAGGTCCTTGATGCAGTTAGGAAATTGTTTTGTTTTTCTGTTCTTTAGCCTTATTTTCTTTTTTTGTTTGGGCTATATTTGTTGAATCCGAATTGGGTAGTTATTGGTTGATATATTTTGTTAAGTTTAAGTTTGTGCCCTGCCCCTTTAATTATAATTTTGTTAGATTTTGCTTTGTGTTTTTGTTGCAACCCCACTAATTTGTTTTATCTTCCCCCTCTTTTCAGTGGCTGGAGGCCGGTGGTGGCGGTGTTGGTGATCTGGTGTTGGCACCCTTCTGTCTTGTCTGCTGTGTTCCTGGGAGTGGGTTACTTCACTGAGTGTGTGTCTGCCACGTGTGTCCGGTGAGATAAGTTGATTTGTTTTTTTGGTGGATCCTTTCCCTGCACTAGGCCCCGTCCATCAACTAGGCCTCAGCCCTGATCAGTTTCCTTTTCCCCTCCCTGCGTGACATTTTTAATTACGGTTTTTACCTAATTTGTTTAATAAAGTGTATTTTTATCAATTGGAACCACATCTCACGCCTCTTGAGTAAACGTACCTGTGTGTCTTGTATTGCAAAAATAATTCTCTGGGTGAAATTCCCAGGGTGGGGTTGTTGACAACCTTAGCTTTACTATCCTTCCTCCTCCTCCTTGCCACACAAAGAAAGTTCGCTCCTTGGTATAACTCTCAAACCCGTAAGTTAAAACAAATATCACGAAAATTTGAAAGGAATTGGCGATTAACCAAACTGGAAGAATCTTGTTTAATCTGGGCAGACAGTCTCAAAGCAGTAATGATGTTATGAGCTTTTTTAATGACAAAATTCTAACTATTAGGCAAAATTCATGACCTCCTGTCCTCAGATAGTACCTATCTAACCTCAAACACAGCTGTAAGACCTAATATATATTTAGATTGCTTCTCCCCAATTTCTCTTCAAGAATTGACCGCAGTGATTTCTTCATCTAAATCATCAACATGTCTCTTAGACCCCATCCCAACTAGGCTACTTAAGGAGGTCTTACCTTTAGTTAACACTCATATATTAGATACAATCAATATATCCTTATTAACAGGCTATGTACCACAGTCTTTTAAG